TCCTCCTCCTCCTCTTCTTCTCTCAGAACAACATCACTGTGAGGTAGGCCAGCCTGAGAGCATGTGACGGTTCTGAGGTCGCCCAGCGAGCTTCCGTGGTAGAAGTGAGGATTCGAACCCGGGTTGACACGGGTCCTAGTCTGCCACTCTATCTGCTTCATCACACTGGCTCTCATGATATCCAGTTCAGGTGTAACTGGGGGAGGTCTTTGCAATGGAAACAGTGGTGATGATTCTCCGCAAAGATCTCGTCGCTGCTGCAACTGCAGAGGTGTTTGTGGCGGCAACGAAGCATCTACCCTACAGCTTTACCCACACTTTCTTTGCCTCAGCTCCACACGACCACCATTCCCCCGTCCAGTAATTGGCAGATTGTCAACGCATGAGAATGATCTGCTGCCACAATCTACAACTTGCCAGCTTCCACGTTCTAAAAAAGTACATTGCTAGCCCTTTTCGTTGTGGAGTTATAAGGGGACATTGCACCCGCTTGCAAAGAGGAGACGCTTCCAGAGAAACTGAAACTGACTAGCGCGAAAGCAAACTGTGGGGAAACTGTCAGGGCAGAATTACAGGCCCAGTGCAGGTTGGAGGTGCTCCCAAAAAGATACAGAAAAGCTTAGGCAGATCACAAGAGGGAGGGCAGGAAGGGCTGCCTCAGTGCTTAGTTCTCGTGGCCCTTTCTTACATGCCCAAAGAAATGCCGATTGCCAATTTGGGCTCAGGAAGCCGTTGTTCTCCAGGACGGTTTGGCTGGAGTTCCTGGAGGTTTTTTGTCATCTTCTGGGCATGGAGCAGGGGGTCACTGGGGGTGTGGGTGGAGGGGGGCGGTATTTGTGAATTTCCTACACTGAGCAGGGGGGTGGACTAGATGACCTTGGAGGTCCCTTCCGACTCTATGATTCTGTGTTTCTCGGCCCTGCCACTCCTCGCCCCAAAGATCTGTGGGAAAGGCCACCTTTTCCATCCGGCCCCTTCCCCCCACTCACCGAAGATGTTGTTGCCACGGGGTGTTTTGCCCCCGAAGGTGAAGACGTGCGAATGGTCGGCCGTCACCACCATGAGGGTCTCCGAGGCGTTGGTCAGCTCTCCGGCCCGCTCCACGGCCCGGTCCAGCATCACGGCCTCCATCAGGGCTTGCTTGGCTTTGCCTTGGTGATGTCCGTGGTCGATTTTACCTCGTGAGGGAGAGAAAGACAACATCAGGATACCTTCGCCTCCATTCTCACGGAACCCGTTAGCCAGTGTCGGCACGGGAGTCTCGCATGGTCATGCGCAGCAGGTGAGTGCTGAAGCCAGTGGCTTTTGACTCCTTTGTGGCTCAGAAATCTTTTAAAAAGGGGACCTGCAGCTCTGTAGGAGGTGGTGCTGGATTCCGCGACTACCGACTGGGCTGCCACCAGTGCAAGACGGCTTTGGGGTTTGGGGCAAGGTTTGGATGCAGAGTGCGGAAAGGAGGCCAGAGAAAGATGGCTGCAATAAGATGTGCCCCTTGGTTTCCAGTTTGATTTGGGAAAGGCGTTGCCATGTGCTTTTGACGTTAGGCCTATGTACACGAATGCATGTTCATACGTACCCCCAAAAATGAAAAATCCCCGCACTTAGAAAACTAGCACGCCAAACAAAAGGGTCTCTTCTATCCATGCTAGTAGATGGCTACATGCTTCCACATACCAAAATTCCCCCTGCACTTAGAAAGCTAGCATGCCAAGGCAAAAGGGTCTTGTCTATCCATCGTGGCTGCATGCTTCTACATACCAAAAACCCTGCACTTAGAAAGCTAGCAGGGCAAACAAAAGGGTCTCTTCTATCCATGCTAGTAGATGGCTACATGCTTCCACATACCAAAATTCCCCCTGCACTTAGAAAGCTAGCATGCCAAGGTAAAAGAATCTTGCCTATCCATGCTAGTACGCGACAGTGTCCTTCTACATACCAAAAAGGTAAAAGCACTTAGAAAGCTAGCATGCCAAGGTAAAAGAATCTTGCCTATCCATGCTAGTACGCGACAGTGTCCTTCTACATACCAAAACATTCCCTGCACTTAGAAAGCTAGCATACCAAGGCAAAAAGGTCTTGTTCATCATGGCTGCACACTTCTACATACCAAAAATTCCCTGCACTTAGAAAGGTAGCAGGCCAAGGAACATAGGATTTGCCTACCAACGCTAGTTTTCTATATGCAGGATTTTTTAAAAAAAATGGTGGAGGATTTGGTTGACAGAGCCCTCACCTGAAATGGGCCTACCATTCTCCTAGACCGGAGGTGGTCTTGAACGCCCCCAAGTCCCCACAGCACGAACAGGGTTCGCCCTTTCGCACTGTGGACCGGCCATATACGTTTCTGAGAAGAAGGGAAGCCTCCTTGTGGCGGAGGGGTGATGGTGATACTCATCTTCCACAAAGAGGAAGAAGCCGTTGGGGTTCTTGCTCAAGACACGAATGGCCGCCTCAGTCATCTCCACGATGGACGGGTCCGTGGCGTTGTCCCGGTCCAGCTCGTATGTCATGTCCTTGGGCTCGAAGAGGCCTACGAGATTTCGGAAGAAGAAGAGGAGAGAGTCACAAGGATGGGGGGCTGGCAGCTTACGATAGGAGGAGGAGGAGGAGATTGGATTTATACCCCACCCTTCCCTCAAAATCTCCGGCTTACAGTCTCCTTTCCCTTCCCCTCCTCGCGACAGACACCCTGTGAGGTAGGTGGGGCTCAGAGAGCCCTTTCCAGCACTGCCCTTGAGAGAACAGCTCTGACAGAACTACGGCTTGCCCAAGGTCATCCAGCAGGTGCAAATGGAGGAGTGGGGAATCAAACCCGGTTCTCCCAGATTAGAGTCCAGTCCTAACCACTACACCCAATTGCCTCCCACTCTGTTGATATTTGGCCCAAGGGTGTCCCTAATGGTGTCCACGGGAGCCATGGCTCTGCCAACACCTTTCCTGGTACCCACCAAGTGTTGCTAGAAAGTGGGCGGAGCTTTTGCCCAGCAAAACTCTGGATTGGCCACTGGAGGTTTAAGGCTGCCACGCTCCCACTGGGGAAATACCTGGAAAAAAATTTTTGGGGGGAGAAGCCTGAGGAGGGAGGGGTTTGAGGAGGGGAGCTGCCACAGCAGAGTTCAACAACGTACAGTCGGTCCTCCTGAGCAGTCATTTTCCCCCAGGGGAACTGAACTCTGTCTGTCTGGGGATCAGTTGTAACTCTGGGAAACCTCCAGGGTCCCCCTGGAGGTTGGCAACCAACCATGTCTTGGTCCAATCCAAGAAGAGGCGGAACAGAAGAGATTGGATTTATACCCCGCCCTTCACTACACAAAGGAGTCTCAGAGCGGCTTACAAACTCCTTTCCCTTCCCTTCCCCTCCCCACAACAGACACCCTGTGAGGTAGGTGGGGCTGAGAGAACTCTGACAGAAACTGCTCTTTTTCAAGAACAGCTCTTATCAGAACTACAGCTTGCCCAAGGTCATCCAGCAGGTGCAAGTGGAGGAGTGGGGAATCAAACCCGGTTCTCCCAGATTAGAGTCCGTGCACTTAACCACTGCACCAAACTGTAGGTTCTGTAGGTTCTTAAGCAAACTGACTGGCACATTCCAAGCAGCTTCTGAAGGGGTCTTGGGCAGAGCGGAAAAAAGGGGGTCCAGCCTCTCCCCTCCCCCAGACGGCATGTCACACCCTTACCCAGGAGATAGTTGGTGGAGTTTTCGTCCACAGCTTCGAGGCCGGTCTTATTCCAGACATATTGGGCGCCCTGAAAAGAAGCAGAGCGCGGAATGGCAGGGATCAAGGCAAATGGATCTGTTTGTATGCCCGGGATAAGACTCTCCAGTAAAATGGATGAGGATACATTCTAGTATTTGAAATCATGGCATGGAATATCATGTGAAGACACTATGAATAGTAGATTTTCAAGAGAGACTACCACGGTGCTTCGGTACGTTCGATGAAGTTGTGAACGAAACGAAAATCAACTCCGGGGAGTTTCGTCCACCCACTCTTTTTCCTGTACTTTTGAATCCACTTTTTTTCTGTTTGAGACGCGAGTGCGCCGCATGACGGAGCGAGCTCCCGTCTCTAGTTCCAGCTCCTGCCAACCTAGCAGTTCGAAAGGAAGAAATTGCAAGTAGATAAATAGGTACCACTATGGTGGGAAGGTAACAGCATTCCGTGCGCCTTGGTGTTTAGTCACGCCGGCCACATGACCACGGAAATGTCTTCAGACAACGGAGATGAGCACCGCAACCCTAGAGTCGGATTCGACGGCTTTCGAGCATGGGAAACTTTACCTTTTTCCTGCCAACCTAGCAGTTCAAAAGCAAGACATTGCAAATAGATAAATAGGTACCACTTCGGTGGGAAGGTAACAGCGTTCCGTGCACCTTGGTGTTTAGTCATGCCGGCCACATGACCACGGAAACGTCTTCAGACAGCGCTGGCTCTTCGGCTTTGAAACAGAGATGAGCACCGCAACCCTAGAGTCGGACTCGACTGGCTTTCGTGTAAGGGAACCTTTACCTTTTTCCTGCCAATCTAGCAGTTCAAAAGCAAGAAATTGCAAGTAGATAAATAGGTACCACTTCGGTGGGAAGGTAACAGCGTTCCGTGCACCTCAGCGTCTAGTCATGCCGGCCACATGATCACGGAAATGTCTTCGGACAGCGCCGGCTCTTCGGCTTCGAAACGGAGATGAGCACCGCAACCCTAGAGTCAGGTTCGACTGGCTTTCGAGCAAGGGAAACCTTTACCTTTACTATGAAAGACAGAATATGTAAGTGTGGATGTGTTATTAGCTATTATAAAATAACATTGTTAAATACAGTGGAGAAATTGTATTTCATTTCATCCTAAGCGCTGTCAGCCTGTTTTCCGGTTTACTAGTTGTTTTGGGCTTATACCCCTGGAGGAAATGGCTGCTTGGAAGGGTGGACTCTCTGGCCTTCTACCATGCTGAGGCCCCTCCCCTCCCCTCCCAAAGTCCCAAACTCCCCTCCCAAACTCTCTCTCCTGGCTCCACCCCCAAAGTCTCCAAGTATTTTCCACCCCAGACCTGGCAACCCTAGAAGACCCTGACTCTTGGCAGGAAGAAATCCTATTGGTCCTAAGCTCTCAATCATGATTGGACATTACTGTACTAGAGGGTGTATAGGTTCTGTAGGTTCTTAAGCAAACTGAATGGCACATTCCAAGCAGCTTTTGAAGGAGTCTTGGGCAGAGCGCAAAAAAGGGGTCCAGCCTCTCCCCTCCCCCAGACGCCACATCACACCCTTACCCAGGAGATAGTTGGTGGAGTTTTCGTCCACAGCTTCGAGGCCAGTCTTATTCCAGACATATTGGGCGCCCTGAAAAGAAGCAGAGTGCGGAATGGCAGGGATCAAGGCACGTACCGTTACCATTTTCAAAGACTGCAGCCCATGGTAGCCGTAGCATTTCAGTTTTAAGCTAATCCTCCTTGCCTATGGTGGAGTTGCCAACTCCAGGTTGAGAAATTCCTGGAGATTAAGGGGCGGAATCATGGGAGGGCAGGGGTCAGGGAGGGGAGGGACCCCAGCGAGATATAATGCCATATAACCCAGTCTCCAAAGTTGCCATTTCCTCCAGGGGGACTGATCTCTACATACTGGAGATAGTATTCCGAGAGATCTCCAGGTCCCACCTGGGGGTTGGCAACATTGCCCTTTTGCGATCTTGTTATTGAGGCCTCCCCCCCCCCCCCTCGCCAATTTGAACCCACTTTTTTCTGTTCGAGACCCGAGTGCACCGCATGACAGAGTGAGCTCCCATCTCTAGTTCTTTTTCCTGCCAACCTAGCAGTTCAAAAGCAAGAAATTGCAAGTAGATAAATAGGTACCACTTCGGTGGGAAGGTAACAGCGTTCCGTGCGCCTTGGTGTTTAGTCATGCCGGCCTCATGACCACGGAAATGTCTTTGGACAGCGCTGGCTCTTCGGCTTTGAAACGGAGATGAGCACTGCAACGCTAGAGTCGGACTCAACTGGCGTTCGAACAAGGGAACCTTTACCTTTTTCCTGCCAACCTAGCAGTTCCAAAGGAAGAAATTGCAAGTAGATAAATAGGTACCAGTTCAGTGGGAAGGTAACAGCGTTCCGTGCGGCTCGGCGTTTAGTCATGCTAGCCACATGACCACAGAAATGTCTTCGGACAGCGCCGGCTCTTCGGCTTTGAAACGGAGATGAGCACCGCAACCCTAGAGTCGGATTCGACTGGCTTTCGAGCAAGGGAAACCTTTACCTTTACTATGAAAGACAGAATATGTAAGTGTGGATGTGTTATTAGCTATTATAAAATAACATTGTTAAATACAGTGGAGAAATTGTATTTCATTTCATCCTAAGCGCTGTCAGCCTGTTTTCCGGTTTACTAGTTGTTTTGGGCTTATACCCCTGGAGGAAATGGCTGCTTGGAAGGGTGGACTCTCTGGCCTTCTACCATGCTGAGGCCCCTCCCCTCCCCTCCCAAAGTCCCAAACTCCCCTCCCAAACTCTCTCTCCTGGCTCCACCCCCAAAGTCTCCAAGTATTTTCCACCCCAGACCTGGCAACCCTAGAAGACCCTGACTCTTGGCGGGAAGGAATCCTATTGGTCCTAAGCTCTCTATCGTGATTGGACATTAAGGTTTTTCTTTTAGTGGCCTCGCTAGAGTAATTACAGACCTATTAGATTAATTGCCTTTTCACTGAGATGAAGAGTTAATTTTGGCCTTCCGATCTTGCGTGAAAAAGACAATGGACACATATCAGGTATATCTTCAGATGCACCTGTTTGATTTTCTCAGTCTTCGTCAAGGGCTCCTTCTTTGAGTTGTTGTTGTTGTGTGTTATGAGCTGAATAAAGAAATCGCTTGTTTGAAACGCTGCCTCGATCTCGGTGTATAGCAGTGGGTGTCATGCCCACCGTGCCGCCCAACCCAGTGGACCCTTATCCCGAGGACTCTGGACGTCAGTTTTGCAGAGGATGGACACCGGCTGTCAGAAGGGTTCACACCTGGAGCCGCTCCTGCTGAGCCGAGCACCAGCTCCACACACCCTAATTCCCCTCCACCTGTAGCTTGTTTACGAGACCAAAGGCGGGATTTGACAACCAGGCGGAGAGAAGCACGCATGCGTGGGAGAGGTACTCTGAGTCCAGAGTATTAACTGGAGCCAGGACTCATTAATCAGCCAGTAATTAATGACACAGGGAACGGGCTTTTAAGGAAGCCCTCTGCACTATCCACCTTGTGCTGGCCACTGATCACATGATTACATCGGGGCACCTCTGACTTTGCATCTGGTTTCCTGACTCCCTGTTTGACTCCCTCAGCTATTTTTGGACTATGGGGCTGTGTGACATTGTCTTCTGGCTCCTCGCCCCTGGAGTTTGTAACTGGACTCTGGACAACGGCTTTACATCTCTAACTACAAAGCTCCGGTAACCCTGAACCTCTGCAAGTAGTTTGATATCTTGGACTGTGTTTCTTTCCTCTGCCTCTCTGGTGCCCTGAACTCTGTCTGTGTTTACGGGATACTCTGTGCCTAGCTCGCCTACTTGGGCAATTGTGACGGTAGGCACCTGGAAAGGTATTGGCAGGCTCCATGTTTGGTAGGACTGCTTGCTCAGGGCTGGGAACTACCTGGAGATTTGGGGGGGTGGAGCCTGGGGAGGGTGGGGCTTGTGGAGGGCGGGGCTTGTGGAGGGGCCTCAGCAGGGAACAATGCCATAGAGGCCCCCCTCCCAAGCCGCCATCGTCTCCAGGGGAACTGATCTTGGTCGTCTGGAGATTAACTGTAATAGCAGGAGAGCTCCACTGTCTCACACTGTCACGCCTGTACCCGACCCGGCGCCTGGGAGCTCTGAAACCGAGGACTGCGTGCCTTTAACATCATCAGAAGCACGAGAGTCCTCACC